TTTTTTTGAAAATATTCTCTAGATTCTAGATGAACCTAGTTTCTACAATTTTGTTAATTATGGGAATATGGACGCTGTATACAACAAATCCTATGTAAGATCTTTATATCCTGTATTTTCTGTTGTTAGTTTCTGTCACTACTTTGAATGTCTTTAATATTTCTTCCAAGATTGCTACGTACACTAGAAAAATCCTGTTTGAGATTAAATAAGATTGTACACAAGTATGTTAGTACTTATACCACTTTAACATTTTGCAAAATGAGCCAGATTACCAACATTTGAATGTGTCTGTTTGTCTGTCTTTAATATTTCTTCCAAGATTGCTACGTACACTAGAAAAATCCTGTTTGAGATTAAATAAGATTGTACACAAGTATGTTAGTACTTATACCACTTTAACATTTTGCAAAATGAGCCAGATTACCAACATTCCTGAAACACAGAAAAATGCCTGTGTAAAAAGAAAATCAACACAAAGCTATGCTGAGAACTCAAATCTGAAGGTGATAAGAAAAGAAATATAATCTTGAAGACAAATTTAGTACTGTAGTGGCAGTGGCATACACATAAAGGACACAGCAAGTATTCAAGAATCTAAAGAAAATTAAAACACTAGGAATCCAATAATCCAAGCCTATCTTTCCAAGAGGAAAAAAGTTTTGATAATCTTTCATTTTTTTCCTTTAAAAGAAGAAGAAATCATATTTGAACTAGCTGCAAGGGTTATATGGGTTTGTTGTGTTAATGAGAAGGCATTCTAAACTAAATGGACCTTGGAATTAATCTGCCAAACTCCTTTATGTTAATAAATCCTACATATCAAAAAATAAAGAAAGAAATGCAATCATAAATCATATGATAACAATAGTTTGCCCAAAGATAACAGATCAAGTATTGAAAACTTCGGTAATTCTCTTCCAGAAGGATTAACAAGAATACCATATTACATAATTAAATGTACTCTTTATTGGATTTCTGACATGCATTTTTTCTAGTAGTTCTGGAAATAACTCCTTTTGGGAACCAGCAGGAAATAACAAGGGCAACTGTCACATATCAGAATGACAGTTGCACCTCATTAATAGAAATATAGTTTGGAACAGTGGTTCTTCTCAAGATACTTACAACACCAAGTTCTTTTTGTTTTCCCTGTTCTAATCTGAGGATTGGACAGTGTTTTCTATGCCCCAGTTCCTAAGAAAAGGAATGTTCCAGTGAATACAGCTCATGTTCCTGCCAGGTTCTGAGGAATAGAAAAACTACTACTCACTCTTGCAACAGAGACTGCTAAGTGCCACACTGGGAACCTGTCTGTGTGCTGTGCACTTTGTGGCTGAAAAGAATATTAAATATTTCTGTTGCCTACAGCTATTTTCTCAATATGTTGAAAGTATCAGGTGAAAAACAGTACATTCCATGAATTTCAGGAGGAAAAGATGGACAGATTCTTGAGACACAAGAATGCATTGGGTAATGGCAGACACACAAGAAACAAATTTATCAGTCTTTTCGTGACTTTCTTGGCTATTATGGCCAAGCTAGTTTGCAGGATTGTATAAAATATATGATAATTTTTGTATACCTGATGTGTACTTTGGATTTTTTTTGTATTGTGAATCCCTTTAGTGCAAATGCAAAATAAAATATATTCCCAAGATGTTTCTGAAATGAAAACGTTTAGTGAAGATGATAAATTAGCCAATGACAGGGCTTGTAAGATGAGCTACAGTCGGTATATCAGAGTTTTCTGTCAATTTTATTGTTGATTCTTAATGAGATAGCATTTCCCCTGAGGGAACAGATCTCTGGTTAAATTTCTACAATACACTATACATGGAACTGTCTTTGAAACCTGCTAAGAACCTGCAATTGATTCAAATGTAGGGGTCTGCATGTTAACCAGCCGGTACTGTTATTATCATATTATGTTATCTTGTATGCTCTGGGTGTTAATCAAAGGTACTAATCTTGACTTAATAAGTTGGTGCCAGGGAATCTGCAAGATTGGCTGCTCCAACCTAAGTCTCCACCTTAGGAAACCCTTCTGAGAGAAGCTGCTGGTGGTGCCTGATTTTTTTAGATGACTAAGGACAGAAAGGGTAGTTTCTCCAACATAGAAAGAAATTGGATCATGGGCCAGACTCCACCAGAAATTAAATTCTGGAGGGTCTTAGAATGTTTGCTCATTGCTGACATTTCTTCTCTTTATTGTGTATTGTAATTTGACTTTTCATTTTTAATTACTATTTTGTTGGGTATTGTGTTGTTTAGAAGCGTGCTGCTTTAGCAACTTAAGGTCTCCAAAATCATTGATTCTGATATTAAAGAATCAAGTGAGAACTGAGAATTTTGGCCGTAGGCAAAGTAACAAGAAATATGTTTAATGCTTTGGTTATGGAGTCAGAAATCATCAGTGCTGGCTCTTGCTTTGGGGTGTGTGTCAAACACTGAGAATATAAAGTTTGGCGTTGGTTTCTAATGGGGCGTGGAGGCAAGGAGTATGAAACCTGGCATTTGTGCCTTTGGATCCTTCTGACTTTCGCATAATTCCTGACTTTAATGCCTGGCAAGTGTTGTTCTTATTACTGTTTTTTAGCCAAGTGCTTTTGGCATTTGAAATCTATTTAAATAATTGGAATAAAATCAGGAGGGGGGAAAAAAGCCAAAACTGACTTCTTACTGTGATCCTACAGCGTTCCCGGCCCCTCTCTGCCAGCGATGCTGAGATGAAAAACCTTATCCCCTCTGCAAAAGAGAAAGTTGCAGGAAGGCATGTTGGCTCCATGCTGGGCCTCTCTATGGAAGAGGTAAAGCAAATCATTTACTTAATTATCAGATGTCTACTGTTAAGACCAAACAAGTCCATTAAAAACTCTGGGCAATATCCAATATTACAAACAGATTTAAATCAATATAACAAATTAAGAAAAATGGTAATTGTTCAGAGAGAGCAATAAAACATAGTCTGGATACAAATGTTTCCCTACAGAAGCACATCACGTGCTCTAATCCAAAACATGAGAAAATTTGTAAGATTTGTTTAAATGAGGCTAGGGTGGGGACTGTAGAAATCTTGTGTGTGTGCCTGTGTGCACAGGCACTTTTTCAGAAGGCAGATGTTGCAACAAGGAGACTTAAGTCTTGGGTCCTATCAAACAAATGTTGAATTGATGAGACCTTAGTCATGTGAACTTTGTACAATCATGCAGCATTAGGAGAAATTGCAGGAGACAGGTAATTTCTTAGTATCAAGACCTATGGGACCCGCCTGTCAGAGCCTACCAACCTTTCCATACTGGAACCTAATACAGGGAAAAGAGAACCGCATTCTATCTTCACTCTTAATCCCCTGAGCCAGTCTAGAAGAAATACCATGATTAGTGGCACTGAATGCCACCAAGAAATGAAAAGGGGAAAAGGACAATTGCACCACAGCATTCCATCTCTTCCAGAAGTCATTGACAAGTCTGATCAGTGAGAGGTGTGTGATCAATTAGATAGAAATTGTCCAAGACTGTTGTGTCCAGAAATATTGTATTCAGTCCTTGCATATAAATGCTTGTAAAAGGGAAAGGAGACTAATATTTTTAGTTAACGTGTTCGATAACTAGATATCTTTGTCAGATTGACATCTTGGAAGTACAGTGGATAACAAATGTCAAAAGAACAAAGTATCCACACTGTACATTGGAAGCATTAAAATTGGTGTTGTGACTAGGTGGTTTTTATTTACAAGGGTTATGTTTATATACTTTGGCATGTGCTGAGGAATCTCAGAGCTTTCTGCAAAATGAGATTCTTTCCCAAGCTTCAATTCTTTTGCCGTAGTGACTTCTAGGCTTCCTTCTGATTTTAGATAAAAGTGTTGCGCCGAGTGAAGGATGAATATGACAGAAGAGGCGGGTTCATTCGTATATTTCCTACACCATTAACTTGGGATACTTATGGGTAAGAAAAATTTAAGAAATCAATTCTGTTATCTTGGACGTTGTAGAAGACTAATATAAATGCTGCTTTTTCCTATGTTCTTATTACCGATTTCCACACTTGAAACTGCATTTTTAGATCATGTCTTCAGCATTGTAATAGAATAAAAGCTTACTACTGATTCTGTATGATATTATATGAATATTTTCCATTAGTAGATACTATGATATCATTACTTGTTTAGGTTTAGGTATTCCTCCTTCCAAACTTGTAATGTAGGCTTTCCCCCCCTTCCTTTTTGTTTTTTATAATAACCTTTGAGGTTTTCTTCTGTTCAGATATTTTTCTTTTTCATGATGAACTTTAATTCTCTTACTCTTGATTTCTTAGGCCTTTTCTTGAACATAAGACAACAATGAACTATATGCTGGCTACTCGTCTTTTCCAAGAAAGGTAGGAAGGCTGTTATAGTGCAACATGTACAGTGAGGCTCCTTTTGAAAGAGATGCACTCTGGTGGCAGTAGTTCTTTGAAATATAAACGCAGCTTAGAATGCACATATTCTTAAAACGATGCATGAGACACAAAACAATGCTCAGCAGGAGATGTTTTAAAAATCTTCAATTATAAGCATCAGTGTTGCTGTATGTACTTGATTGGGTGTGTATGCAAATAGACAGATATGGGCAAAAATGAAATTATAAAAATAAAAGTTAATAGTTGATTAATCACAGCCTTCATCTCTTTATGTGGCTATCAAAAATAAATTCAAAAAACTAAAAACTAATTCCCTTGTCCCAATTTTTTTTCTTACTCACTATACCCAGACAGCAATGCCAACTCTTCTTTTAGAAATAACTCCTTTGGCTATGCTGAGTGAAGGGATATTTACTTATTTTTATTTATTTATTTTTCACAAATTTGAACCGCCCAGCTTCTTCCGAGAGAGACTCTGGGCATGTAGAACAAAGCTTTAAAATATAAAAATAGTATATATAGAAGTTAAAAAAAATAGAAAGAGGCAAGGATGGTGAAGATGATGATGATGTTATTCATTCAGTTGAGTCTGACCCTTGGCGAGTCTAGGACCCAGATCTCTCCACATCTTCCAATCTTGCACTGTTTCTTTGAGTTTTTCTGTGCTCTGGTTGGTATCAGCTTTGATGGTGGCAATGATAAAGCACTATTAAAAGGGATGATTTTCAGGGCACTAGCCAGTCCCATGGCTGCATGTTTCTTTGGGGTCCCCATGGGTGGCCAGAGAGTTTTAATTTTAATTCCTTTTTGTAAAGCCAGGAGAGGGAGGGGCTGTCTTGTTTGGTGGGGAGGGCGTGAATATTCCAAAGGGCAGGGGGAATGACAGAGAAGGCTCTCTTCCTGGACCCCACCAGTTGAAGTTCTTTAACTGATGAGGTCTGCAACATAGCTTTCCTGCTTGACTGGGTGGAATGGGCTGGTGTAATGGGACGAAGATAGTTCTATAGTTTTTTAAAAAAAATCTTGGTTCCTTTCTATTTTTTTACTTCTTAATAATTTCTTTTCTACGTCATTGGTATGTGGTATGTGTCTATCCTAGTCATTCTGTATATCAGTGCAGCCAGAATTTGAAACCATTCCAGACAATAAGCGTTGCAACACTTTAATATTAAAGCATGTTATATTTGGCATTGCTTAGCATTTGCAGTTATCAAATGAAAGTCATGGTAGTAGCCTGGGAAAAACTGGGATATTGAAGGAAAATAACACTGGGATATAAGATGTGGATTTCCCTGTGTGCCATGTGGTTCAGAAATTATATCATCAAGGTAAACTATGTAAATTGAATTTAAGAAGCTAAAATAGTAAAAAGTGCTAGAAAATGATGGTGAACATAGGGAAGGAGTGCTTATAAACATTGGACTGAAACTGTATGACAGTTAAGAATATTTAATATTTGATGACTACTGTATAAGCTGAGGAAGTAAAAGAATAATTCATATGCAAATAAAAGGAGGAGATTCCCAAGAACATAAGAATTGGCTTTCTGAAGTAGAGCAAAGTCTTTCCCGACAGTTTTTCCCAACAGTTGTCTGTCCAAATGCCTCTACAACTTTACTATTGCATTTAATTGAATGTCTTCTACTGTTCTGTTAATTTACAGTATTTAGTTCAGTGGTATTTTATTTGGATTCTTTATTATATGCCAGCATTTAGGTATTTCCAAATAATCCGGCTATTATAGAAGTCAGAAGTCACTTCTGACTTCAGAACAGTTTAGTGAAATAGAACCATTCTTATGTAAGAACTTGTGGTAATCCACCAATTTTCAAATATTTTTTGAACTTTTGGGGGAATGTATTTTAGGATGATTACCTGTTAGTCCTTCAGCTGATCACAAGAACAAATTCTTTCTCTTTGTTGTTCAATTTAATATCAATTTTAATGAAAACAAAGTATTCCTAAAGGGTGAAATGACTTGAGTACAAGTTTTATTTATTTATAAAAATACATTTGGAAATGAGGCGGAATCTAAGACATTTCAAACAAAAATATTTCCAGTAAACATTTTCAAAATGTTTCAAATGCTTGCATTTCACACTCTCTAACAGACCAAGGTGGCTTCAGGGCATTGCATCAAACAATAAATGGTATAGAATTGTTTTGTGAATCTAAGGTAAAACCCATGCCAGTAGATCATGTCTTTTAAAATGGTCAACCTTACGGAATTATTTTGCAACAGTTTTATGATATTGTCACCCATCCACTTCATCCTCAGTAGTAGTAAGCTAGGAACCAACCAGTGCTCCAAAATCATTTTTTGTTACCATAATGCTTCTGCCAGGTAAAGATTTCACACTCAAGATAGTTGCTGGAGTGTATGAATCTGGCTATTGCGCCTGTGTACTGCTGTTAAGGGATGCTCACATTGGAATTATTCAGCAAATTAAGAGAGAGCAGATCTATCAATGATTATGCATATTGACAGTGGAGATGCAAAGGATATGTTTATGAATCCTGGGGAAGAAGAATAGGTAAGACTGTGAGGGCAGCTCTGCTAAAACAGAGGCACATCTTAGCCCCGCATTTTATTTCTCACAGTGATTTGTCAAATTTTTTAGGTACTCAAAGACAGGGCATGAACTTCTCTCTTGCCATTATTCCCCTGCAGCAGTAGACTTGGGCATCATCATGAATCAACAGTGAGCTTTTGGTTTCTGCATTTGCTGTCTTTGAAAGCACAACATGGACATTATTCTGATCTAGCAAGGCAATGCTAATTGTCTTTAATTTGACCTAAGCTGCCATTTTTATCAAACAGTTTAGTTTTTCTAACAGTATTTTTATAGATTTGTTACGCTTTGAGTTAAACCTATCATATAACTAACATAATCACTTCTATTTCTTTATAGAGGAAGTTCAAGGAAAGGACCAGTTCCTAGACGAGCTCGGTAAGACTTGAAATGAAGCTTCTGATGTCATGCAAAGGACTCCATTGTTTTGTAAATAGGCCTTCCTGAATATTGTCAAGAATGGTACATGAACTGTGGACCATAGCCACATTGAAAATGATATATAGAACCTTCCCAAAAGATGCTGTCAAAATGCAATTTTAAATGTGGCAGAGGAAAATGATTAAAACATGAGGTCTTAATTATATAACCTTTGTTTTCATCTTATCTATTTTTTGCAGGCTATTTAAATATTTGTTTATCTGTCAGCATTAAAAATGTGTTCCAATTGTAAGCAGGTCAGATTCGTATTTTAGTAATCTTTGGTTTGGTGGTTTTCATTTGGATAAAAGAAGTAAGGTGCCCATTTGTAGTATATGTGATCTTCCTTGAGTTAAACATTTAATCCATTTTGTAAACATATGGTGAGTAACTGATGACGAGGCTAAGGCAAGACAAGTATGATAATTTGTAAAATATTTATAACTTTTTGCCATTATTACCGTACAACTTTGTAGTCAACAATTTGACTTCTACAGTAAAAGTTGCTAAATGAACAGTTGAGTTTGGCTAATGTTAACTGGTTGACTAGTATTCCCTCTGTAATGTTTATTTCCTAGGTTTCCTATGTAGGATTAGGAATAGGTAAATCAGACTACAGCCAATTTATGTCAATATTCCATTGAATTCGCATTGCTTTTAGATAATTTTGTATTAGATTTTATGCACATTCTTCCTAATATTTGGCATTTGATACTCATGCCTTCATTTTAAGATACACATGTGAACACACCCATTTTGACATTTGAAAAATATTTTCTGAAGTGTTTAACAGTGCTGATGTAGAAAGTTCATAGATCAAGACTACAATTAAGTTATTTGGATTCTGAAATCATAACAAACCAAACCCATAATGATTCCCTTAATAATCACTTAACATAGGAAGCTATCTGAGGTTGATGTGGGAGTAGAGAGGTCATTTAAATCCCTTCCAGACTATAGAATATTCTGGATGATTTTAGACTATTCATTTTCTCTCAGCCATCCCACTTTATAGGCTTGTTGTGAAGATAAAATTAGGGATGACCTTAAATATGGGGGTCTGAGTTCCTTAAACAAAAAAAATTCTTGGGCAATTAATGATTTTTCAGGGGTACCTACTTCACAGAGCAATTTTGAGCTTAAATGGATGACCAGGATAAATGTATGACCTTTACTTCCTACTCGGAATAATGAAATAAATCTGATTGCTATGGATCTTAATCCCACATAGTTATAAAAAGGCTAACTGGGACACTATAGAATATTATAAATAAATCAGCTTTTCAGTTGTTCCAGCAGAATTTCTTAATTCTTGGCCATTGTCCTATTAATATAAAAGAACAGAAGGCAAGCTTGCCAATCTTTTTCTGGAATCCTCATATGAATGCATATCTTACTGATATTATGAAGAATCAAATAAAATATAGACAGTTTTGAAAGAGATTATAATAGACAATTAGTTGCATGTTTGATTATAATGTAAACATTAATGCCTCTGAGCTCGAGTTTTCAGTAACATCCCTCTGCTACTGTTGTGCCATCCCAACTTCTCTAGTTTTATTTCAACTGAATTCTCTTGTAGAGATTTCCAGTAAATTGAGCTGCCAACTATGAATTGTGGATGGATTTCCCCGGGAACTGATGATTTTGAGAGTGGTCCACAAAATTGCCACACACTTTTTTTTAAGCAGCTCAATAAGATTTAATGAGGGTGGCAAAATGCCACCATAACATTTGGTTTTAAAAGGCATTGATTTGCTTTTCAAATCCTTAATACATTTTGTTTCATTTTTCTGGAAAGCTGAGGTCTCACTTTTGACAAAAATAAATACAGCTAGGTAACTTTGTTCAAAGTGATTTGATGGCTTTAGAAGTGACAGTGTACTGTGTCCTCCCCCCCCCCCCAATATAGGCCGAGGTGGCGCAGTGGGTAGAGTGCAGTACTGCACGCCACTTCAGCTGACTGCTAGATCAGCAGTTCAGCAGTTCAAATCTCACCGGCTCAGGGTTGACTCAGCCTTCCATTCTTCCGAGGTGGGTAAAATGAGGACCCGGATTGTTTGTGGGGGCAATATGCTGACTCTGTAAACCGCTTAGAGAGGGCTGAAAGCCCTATGAAGCGGTATATAAGTCTAACTGCTATAGGCAAAGTGGGAAGATCATTTCGATGTCTCTGGGCATTGGGACAAAAACCATGAAGGGTTTTCTGTGTTCCTATCTTTTGCAGGTTAGCTCTTGCTGCTGAACTGGGTTTGGACATTATAGATTGTAACGCTCAGCTTCATGCTGCTTTGTATGAGCGGAAACTATTATCACTAGAGGTTCGAAAACAAAGGCGAAGGTTTGGCAAACTGAGACCAGGAAGACTGTCAAGATTGTCAGGTACATACATGTCCTGCTTATTTTCCCGTAGCGTGGATATACAGGTTTAATGGAGAAAAACCATATCTTGTATGTGTAAATGCTATCTTTGGAATCTAAAAAAAAAGTTTGTACAGATTTCCCGTTTGGCTTACTTAGTGCTCTTATATAATCCATTATTACCCATTTAGAGATGTAAGCACTGAATGATATACATCAGACTATATTTTGTTTTGTTTTAAAATTTAGTTTGCTAAAATGTTGAGAATTGGAAATATACTGATTCTGACAGGTACATCACAATCAGCTGATTTTATCCTCAAGTCAGAAACAGAATGTGAAGAAGAGGAGGAAATGGAAGATGAAGAACTAGAAATATGCCAGGGTGAAACAGTCGGGTCTCTCAGAAATATGCCTGTGAAATTTAAGCCACAGTTGACAGAGATGGTGAAGCCCCCCCACCAAGCCAAATTACCAAAGGAACCTGAAGAGAAGCCTGCAAATGAAGGGCCTCCTCCTCAAGAGAAACTGGAACCAGTGCCAAAGAATACTGATCCTCCATTTAATTTGCTACAGATTCTGCAAGAGAACAGGAATCTAAGGTAAGAGAGTTCATGGGATTGATTTGGCTAAAAGACTTGGGATTCCTTCACTGTTTGTATCATATTGCTGATTGCACTGGGATATGGGGAAGTTGACATAGAAAATAGCTGAGTTGTGGTAGAACATCTAGAACAGAGGCGTCGAACTCGCGGCTTGTGGGCCAGATGCGTCAGGTACTGGCCACTCCCATGCCCGGTTTAGCGAAGGGGGAAAAAGTTGTGATATGTCACATGATGACACCATGACGACGCGAGTTTGACACCCCTGATCTAGAATATCTAACTATGGAAATAGTGGTATAAAATGCATGGATGGCTGTCTGTTTTTGTCAGCAGTTTCCTCTTTGAAATCTAGAGCTTAAAGCAGAAAAAAAGGGGTTCAGCAGGTTCTGAAATCCATTTTTTCTATCTTCGTAACCTCCTCCAGCCACTATTATTGAAAATTAATAGCACAATTTCTCACCATTATGAAGCATAAAACTCCCCATTATGGTAATAGTTTTAAATATTTTAAAAAATAAATCCATCTCAAACTCTCCAGACATTCAGGTTCAGTCCATTCAATTTTGCATCATTGGTCCAACTATTGAAGCCCTCAGTTTCCCCAAACATTTCTTCTGACTTAAAGTAACTTTAAGTTTAGAAACAAAAAACAGGTATGTTATAAACAATTTTACTACTGATTGTTCAGTATCCTTTCAAGCCTGGAACTGGCTGTGGACCAGGAGTTCTTTTATTACTAACTAAATGCCCTGGCACCTTTGGTGGAACACTTGAGCAACCTCTGCCTTACTCTTTCGACAGAGGACTTATTTGCTACTGAATTCATGAGAAACTCCCTGTTAGGTAAGCTCCCCGTTGTGAGAGCGAGTGCGTTCAGAGAAGCGTTGTGAGAGTGGTCTTGGAGAACACACAAACCAGCATACAGAGACACTGCAGTTTAAATAGGCTTTTACTTTCGTGGAAATAGAGGTATCAGAGTCCATCAAAACAGTCCAAATCAAATACGGTTAAGACAGTCAGTCATCAACGTCTTTCAGTTAAGGGA